GAATTTCATAATACGGGGGAGGTATGTTGGGGGGGGGTCGGGGGAGGTATGTTGGGGGGGAGTTCGGGGGAGGTATGGGGAGAGGTGGGGGAGGTACGGGGGAGGTATGGGGGAGGTGCGGGGGAGGGACGGGGAGGGATGGGGGAGGTATGGGGGGGGGGGTACGGGGGAGAGATGGGCAAGGCCTGCAGCAGCAGAAAGGCGAAGGACGCGTAGCGCGCAAACTCGCGGTAGCCCTGCAGGACACTGTTGTCGAGGAATAGGGTCGTGACGAGCAGCGAAAGCAGCAGGCAAATCTTTGCGATCCAGAAGCCGCGGTGCGCGCGCGCGCCGAACTTGGTCGTGCCGCAGGTGAGTAGCGCCATGGCGCCTGCAGGGGCGTGGACGTGTCGTGGGCGTGTCGTGGACGTGTCGTGGACGTGTCGTGGACGTGTCGTGGACGTGTCGTGGACGTGTCGTGGGCGTGTCGTGGGCGTGGCGTGGGCGTGGCGTGGGCGTGTCGTGGGCGTGTCGTGGGCGTGGCGTGGGCCGTCGTCGCATGGGTTTCCCCGGGAGCGGGGCGGGGTGGGGTAGCGAGGTGGGGGTGGCGGGGGAGGGGGGGTGGGGTGGCGGGGGGAGGTGGGGTGGCGGGGGCGGGGTGGGGGGGTGGGGTGGCGCGGCGCGGCGGCGCCGAAAAAGAGGGCGAGGACAAAGGAGAAGCGGTAGATGGAGAAGGCGCCTGGCGACAGGCTCGGGGCTACGGGTATGGGGGACTCGCCTGGCGAGGGGCGGCGCCTTCTTTCTAGGCGCCCGGGACCCGACGCAGAAGGGCGCTTGTGTGTAGCCCCCCCCGATGGGGCGTCCTCTAAAAAAAGGGAGGCAGGGAGGAGGAAGGGAGGGAGGAGACAGGGGGGGGACAGGGAGGAGACAGAGAGGAGGCGCAGGGGTCGAGATGGGGCGAGTGGACGGGGAGGTGGCGGTGCGGCGGGGGCGGGCGGAAGTGTCGCGGAGGTGTCGCGGAGGTGTCGCGCAAGTGTCGCGCCTCCGCAGACGTCGGCGCAGCAGATGATCCACCCGTGCGGGTGCCTATTCACAGCTACAGCCGTGAAGAGACGCCGTCCACGCCTCCACCCATCTCCACCCGTGGGCGCGACCTCGACTTACACCAAAAGGAAGTGTCTAGGGAGTGTCTAGGGAGTGTCTAGGAAGTGTCTAGGAAGTGTCTAGGAAGTGTCGCGCGCCTCGACTTGCACCAGAAGCGGTCGTTCCAAAAGGACTCGGCTGCGTGAGGGGGGGTGGCAGGGGAGGTGTGTGTGTGGGGGGGAGGGGTCGTGGGGAGGTGTAGGAGGCGGAAGGGCCTGCGAACGGAGCTCGCGCGGCTCCTCCGCGACACCGCGCGCCTCTCCCTCACTCCTCTCCCCGCCGCGTCTCTCCCCGCCGCGCAGGCGGGACGGCTGCACTCGCGCTCACCCGAGCTAGACGCGCTGCTCATCGCCTGCTCCTTCATGTGCTCGAGCCAGCCCTCCGCGGTGCTGTTGTACCCGCTGCCGAAGAGGACGATGTCGCCACCGCCGCTCCCGAACGCGAGCGCGCACAGCACGAACAGCGACAGCAGCAGGATGTACGCCACGCTCGCCGCGCGGCTCGTGGTGATGCACGCGCAGCCGCAGGCCTTGCAGGCGAGAGCACCGCAGCAGGAGGCGAGTAGCGAGCCGCAGCATGACGCCGCCATGCTGAAAGGGACCGTGAGGAGGGCGCCCATCCCGGAGTTTACAGGCGTCTCGCAGCTGCGTATTCTCGTACTAGCTGAGGGGCTCGCTAAACGCTCGCCGAGCTCCATGCTGTGCAACACCACCTCCTCACTAATCGTCAGGGGCGCGGAGAGCGCAGTGCACTACGGTGAGGCTGCGCAGCGGGCACCCCCTGCACCGCGCTCAGCGGCGCAGGGGAGGGCGGTCGGTGGCGGCGGCGGCGAGGCGCGAGGCGGTGGCGGCGGTGGTGCGGGCGGCGGGATGACAGGGGAGGCGGCGGGATTGACAGGGGAGGCGGCGGCCACGAGCGGAGCGGCGCGAGAAGGGGGGGGGGCGGCGGCGAGGCGGCGAGGCGCCGGTGAGCGAGGCGCCCGCGCCATCAGAGGGACGCGCCGCTGCGAGATGGAGGGCGGCGGTGACGGAGGCGAGGCGCGAGGCGGCGGCGGCGGCGGCGGCGGCGGCGGGTCTCGGTGAGCGGCGGCGGGAGGAGGAGCAGCGGCGGCGGGAGGAGGAGCAGCGGCGGCGCTCGCTCGCTGTTGACGGGAGCGCTTTTGAGCCTGGGAGCCCATGCCACTGCGACCGGCGTGCCCGGGAACGGAGATCGCGCGCGCGCCGCCACTCACGACGCGCGCGCGATCTCCGCGGAGTCGGGTCCCCAGAGGGAAGCGGTCTTCTCGGCCGACGTCCAGCGGCGCGCAAGGAAGCAGGCGCAGCGGAGGCGGCCTAGCACCGGCTCGGCGCCGGGCGGTTGCGCTGCCCGCGAGCCGCGTCCTGAGCCTCGGCAGCGCGCGGCGCGGCGCGGCGCTCGCGCTGCTGCGGTGCCGAGAGCGGCATGATGGTTCGCCAGCCGAAGCTCGAGACTCCTCGGGTATCACGAGTTCTGGGGGTCACGGGCATAAATGCCGGACAACGCGAGGCCCTTATATCTTTAGATTATCTTCGAGTAGTTGCGTGGGGGCGGTATGTATTCTCGTATCAGTAGTTAGTGTCGTGTCCACTAGCTCCGAGTAGAGGGTGCGTTCTGCAGTTAAGGGGAAACCCGGTACACGGAACCATCCCTCGGAGACCCGTGTTATGGCCCTGCGAACGCGCACCCCCGGGGCTAGGGCTCTCTAGCCCGTAACCCGATCCCGATCATCCGGCCCGCTGGGTGCGCTTCTTAGCTCCCCGGCCCTGGATGTGAGGCTAATAACTGCACTCCAAGTGCTCCAAGGTCTTTCTACATTATCGAGTTAAAATACTGTCCCGTTTTGCTGTTCACAGCTAGGGACGGCCTCTGCGGCAAAGTCAACTCACCCCCAGGAGCGGCACCTCCCCATATCTCCCACATCTCCCCCTCATCTCAAGGTGGAGGAGCGGCACTTCCACGCTGCGCTCGGCAAGCACAAGAAGGACGCGCCGTGCCTGACCCCGTCACTGCGGCCTCGTTTTTTTTTCGACGCGGGCTTCTGTCTGTAGGACTTTCGCGCGGTGCATGACGCCGTCACTGCCGCATTTTTTTTCTTTTTTACGCGGGCTTCTGTCTGTAGGACTTGCGCGCGGTGCATGACGCCGTCAGGACAAAGAACATGGCGTCGGTGGTGCGGCTCTACTACCTCGAGAATGGCCTCAAGAAGAAGGAGGAGCGCGAGAAGGCGCGCGACGTGCGGCGCCGCTCAAAAAGCCTTGCGTCTGGCTTTCCTCAAGAAGAAGGAGGAGCGCGAGAAGGCGCGCGACGTGCGGCGCCGCTCAAAAAGCCTTGCGTCTGGCTTTCCTTTTGAGGGGGGGGCTGTTCTTAGGCGGCCGACGTGCAGCCGCTCACGCCGCCGCGCGGGTTTCTTTTTTCACGCGGCTGTCGTGTGTTAGGCGCGCGACGTGCAGCTGCTCAAGGAGGCGCGCTCGCGTGAGGCGGCGGCGGCGCGGGAGCCTAGAAGCGGAACATCTCCCCGTATCTCCCCATATCTCCCCGTATCTCGTGCCCTAGAAGCGGAACATCTCCCTTCCCCCGTATCTCCCCGTATCTGGCAGCACGGAGCCTAGAAGCGGAGTACACACGTACGTGTGTTCCAACTGGCGCTACTGGCGGGGGATAGGGGGAGATAGGGGGAGATAGGGGGAGATAGGGGGAGATAGGGGAGATAGGGGGAGATAATGCACACAGGGGGCGCTACTGGCGGGGGATAGGGGGAGATAGGGGGAGATAGGGGGAGATAATGCACACAGGGACCGGGGGGCGACGGGAACACCAAAGACGAGAGAGACAGACTTGTCCTGTCTCTCTGTTCCGTAGGCGCGAGAGCACCCGCGGCCCGCCATACCTGTGAACGGCGTCTCTTCACACCTCGGGCTGTGAATTCTTGTGACATGGCAGGCCACTCTCAAGCCCTACCAGCATCAGATCACCCATTTGGGGAGGGTTGACATCGTGATTTCCGCGGAAAATTTCTTTTTCTGCTGTGAAAATGGGAGGGCCCAGACCTACCCTACCTACCCCGTCATCAGGTCCGCCCAAGCAAAAAAAGTACACACCTGACCTCTCAGCTCAAAGGGGAATTTATTTGTTTGGGCAGTGTTCGACCGGGCTAGCTACTTGCCAGCGCCCGTCTTTGTTTTAGTAGTTAGTCTTGCGGGGTTGCCCTTGGCCGTTCGGCTGATTTATAAGATCCGCGAGACCTCGAGAGAGTAGTGCCGAAGGCGCTCTTTTTGATCGAGGCAGGGCGTTCGGCTGGCTTCCCTGTGTACTTCGCCACAGGTCCAACCCTCGCCTTTCCCGTTCCGCTCGCGCTTGCCCCGCCGCGTCGACGCACATATGGCCGCGGGGAGCTGCACGCCCGAGCGGCGCGACGCCTCCTGCTCACGCAACCCGCCGCTCCCTCTCCGCTCCCACCATGCGATGCGCTTCGATTTGGCGCCCGAGCGGCTACGCCCCCCTCGGCCTCACAATCCCTGCCACCTCCCGTTCGCAGGTGAGGCTGCTGCCATCGGGGAGCCGCGAGACGCGGCCGCTGCCACTCGTTCCCCACCCTTCCACCGAGCGAACCCGCCCGATTGCCCCCACTCTTTTCCGGCGAGAGAGCGACGCAGCCCGCTCGCTTGCCAATCGCTGCCCGGCTCCAGTCCTAGCGCCGAGGACACGAGAGAGTGTGCCGGTCGTCGCGATGCTAACGCCGAGGCGTGCTGCCCGTAGGTGTGGCAGTGACCTGGCTCGACCCTCTCTCTCTCTCTCTCTCTTTGAGCATGGCCTCTGCCATAGCAAACCACCACGCGTCACGGTCGATTTCTTTTTGTCTGTGGAGGCGAGGCTCGAAGGGGAGGGGAGGGCGTGGGGGGGGGGAGGGGGGGGGGGACTGGGGGGGGGAGTGACCTGGGTCGACCCTCTCTCTCTCTCTCTCTTTGAGCATCGCCTCTGCCTTCATTAGCAAACCACCACGCGTGACGGGCGATTTCTTTTTGTCTGTGTAGGCCAAGCTCCAAAGGGAAGGAGGGGAAGGCCTGGGGGGGGGGGGGGGGGGTTACTCGGGGGGGAGGAAACCGGGTTGAACCCCCCTTTTTTTTTTTTGGGAAGGGCTTTGGCTTTTTTTAGAAAACACCCCGGGGGGGGGGGGGGAATTTTTTTTTGCTTTGGTGGGGAAGCCTCTAATGGAGGTTGAAGCCTTTGGGGGCTTGGGGGGAATGGGTTGGGGGGGAGA